CTTGCTGACTCTCGACGGCCGTTGTCCTGGCCGCGTATCTACTAGGCTGCGTCCGCTGTCTTCACCACTACAGTAGCCGAGACGCTCCCTCCCTGCCCCTACCACAGCATAATCACAGAATTCTGCTGATCGGTCCGGGACCCACCTACCCCAAACCCAACGTTAGGCGCCACCACTTATGGATGCACCTTAGTCGTTGACTGCTCCTTCTCTTGCTCTTCTCTGCGCATCTGCGCCCTGCAACACTTTGACCCCTACGCGGATTTTCGTTACGAGTCGATCCGCCACACTCGTCGTGCCGCACCAATCACATAGCCACCCCACGACCCAGGCATTTCCTATTTGATCCCTGTACACTAGTTCCGCCATACTCGAGCCCGCTCGATCACGCTCGATTCCCACCCCGTTGCCACTAGTGCTCTAATAATCTACGACACACCAAGTCCTCTCTGGCCCGCGCTGTTCGAGAGTTGGTCGCTACACCACACCGCCCAGTCCACGCGCTCACGCCCTCCTACATGAGCGACTTGAGAGAACGTCTCGCGCGATTGGGACTGTCCCAGTACCACGAAGTGTTCACAGCCGAAGGCTTCGACACTTGGGAGACTGTGCTCGACATTACAGAATCAGACTTGTGCGCAATGGCTCCACCCCTACCTACCCACGCCGCCCCTGCTTACTGTTCCGTAGAAGTTCCCTCAACGTCAAGCTTGGCCATCGTCGGGTACGTCACTATTCTGCGACGTTACCACCAGCAACAACTGACCTCCTCGTAGAAACTTCAACGGGCCATCGCCGAATCGCGCGGACAGTCTTCGGATAGGCCTCTGCCCATCAATCTTGCACGAGCTGGGAGCACTGCCGGCTCGTATCGCAGTGACGACTCGGGGCCAGAAAGCAAAAGCAAGCAGCCAGAGCCCACCAATACTGCACCGAATGGAACAGGGGCCAAGCGGAAGTACCGTCGACATCCCAAGGTAGCCCACTCTGCAGATCCCGTCTGTCGTGCAACATCGCTAACCCAACGTAGCCTGATGAACATGCACCAGAACGTCCACCCTCTGCTTACGTCATATTCTCCAATCGTAAGTCTGATCTCTGACCCAACGCGATCACGACTAATTCGCAGCAGAGGTACGAGAATCACTCAAGGGACAAGATCTTACCTTCACCGAGATTGCCAAGGTAGTCGGTGAGAAATGGCAAGTCTTGCCTGCCGAGGAACGCGAAGGTTGTGAACGACAGGCCAATGGTGCCAAAGAGAAGTACTATGCAGAGCTGGCTGAGTACAAAAAGACGCCCCATTTCGAGGCGTACCAAAAGTATCTCGAGGATTTCAAGTCGAAGCACTCAGTGCCCACTAAAGGTCTGTCCACAGCTTCTGTTGTCATGTGCCGCAATGTATTGACATGTGCAGAAGGCAAACGCTCAAAGCTTGAAACCGAAACCAGCACTTCAACACGAGGAGGTAGCAATGAACAGGCCGACCCACCGGCAAACAGGAGATTGAGTTCTATTCAGTCCGATGCCCAAGCAGCATTACAACAAAAACCGGATCCCACTCAACCAATCCCCCCTTCACGGCTACCACCTGGCCCAATCTACGCTTCGAACTCGACATCGCCGGCCAATATTCCCCTTTCTGGCTTCAACTCCCCCCGTTCGGGCGAACAATTCTCCCCCACATCTGCATCTCCACGGACCACGGTCTTGCAAAGAGATGGCGGTGTCTATGACCCATCCGTACCCAATTCCATTCGAGACACGAGGATCCCCTTCGATGCCAATCCGTACCATCAGCCTTCTGCGTACAACCTGGACCTCCACCAAAAGATTGCATCGACTCCACCACCTCCATATCCCCACCCAAATCACTTTCAGGGGCCAAACGACATGCTTTCTCGTCGGACTCCGCGCGACTCCTCGCGTCTCCCCCCGCTCAGTCACGAAGATACGACGTTGTCGTCCGAGAGTGGTCACAGCAATCAAGGATCTCAAGGGTACACCTTGTCGGCTTATCCTGGGCAGACATTACCTGCAGACCCGAGTAAGACGATGCGCATGCTTCCCCAGCCAGTGCCCAGTATAGCACCCCTAGCCTCGCCACTGGATCGGCCGATACCGCCCATGCCATCACACCTCTCGCATAATCCCCATGACTATCGCAATCAGGGGTCACTTGCGGTCCTCGTAAGAGCAGGAGAACTGGCATCAAGAGCAGCGGACGACGACATGGTCGAGACCGAAAACTCCCCTTGATTCTTTTTTTGAACGCTATACCAATGTTACAGTACATGATTCGGCATGAGCAGTCCGCATGGCCCGTTCCAGTGGGCAGTGCATACCGTATGCGACCACAAGCTGTTTCGCTGCGAGACGTCAGTACCGACATGACTGCCATGCGTGTACCGCGCATCAGCCATATGAGCACGCGCGGGGACGCTTTACGTTTTCATTTGTTGTTTGCTATTTCGAGATGATACCCCAACGCAACCAGTCCACTTATCGGCCTATCGAATACCAAGTGATTATACAGAGGATGGATCCCTACCTCAAGGATTGAAGTGTTGGAGATGAACTACGGGCCCTTCTAAGTCCGCAACGCACGCGCCGTTCGGATGAAATGTACGTGCATACAGAGAGCCTGTCCTGGCATGGTAGATTTCACGAAGGCTCAGCCTCCACGGTTTATGCCGTGAGGAGCACGAGTCTCTGCATGTGGAGCGTGTGTGCAAGGACAAAGAAGACGTGTAGGATGTACATAGGAAATCTAGATCTATTCGCTTGAATGACACTGCCTAATCATTTGGAACACTTGGATATGTGCACCTGGTCTAAACGGCAGTCTGGATTATTCCGTCAACTGCATGATGTGGTGTGATTGGCAGCCAGTCTTGTCTGGGATCAAGAAGCGCATCCGTCGTGCAAGGCGGTAACAATGTTCGCATACGGCGGATTCAATAGCGCCCAATGGAAAGCATGCACCCGATAGCAGCTAACTCGCTAATGCTGCCTGCAACTAGAGCTAGGAGTACAGTACACATGCGTAAGTGGATCTTCCTCGGTCAATTGGCCCGAGCGACATCGAGATCATGTGCTTGGCGTGGCGTGTTGAGTGGATTTTGGGGGATTTATCCATGTCTGCCAACATCGAGGATTTGGCATGCTAGTCTGGCACCGCATGGCCAGGGTTTGAGCAAACCCACAGCAATCACGTGGCAGATGCTACGATGTCCCGCGACGATACAAATCGTCGGTATTTTATGCCGGCGCGCTCGCAGATCGACGGCAAGCCGAGTCAATGGAGTAAGCCCACCCACACACACCACAAGCCTCCCGACATGGCAGGCAGCAGGACCCCCAATCTGCAATAAGAGCAAGTCCCACAAACGCATTTGTCGATGTTCGTTCGCAAGGGCGCTCGCTCGGATACAGGGTCGATCACCAGGACCCTAGTCTGTCCGTCTGCCGCGTACAGCGCTCTGCATGGCCCCCGCGGCATTAGCCCTTCCACGGAGTAAGACAATACATGTTCCGATATTTCGCCATGAGAAAACAGCTGATTTGTGTTGCCTGATTCTCGCATCCGCATGCATCCTGACATGGTAAAATTAGCGTTTCGGCACATCGTTTCGAAAGGGCAAAGACAAAGCGCAAGGGTGTACTAGACATCTGTGCATTATGCAGGTGCTGTGGAGTAAACAAGTTGCAGCTGGACTGACCAGTGAAAGTTAGTCGAGCCAGATATTTGGAACGAGGGATCATGCCATTGCCGCGAAAGAGGGTCCCGCAGACACAGACGTTGGTTTCGGGCTCCGTGGAGCAGTTGTTCTAATCATTGTGACGTCCGCGGAGCGTCAACAGGACAGGTCGGCAGCCGAGTTGGTCTGGATCGGCATGCTGGACTGGAAATCGGCCCGCGTCTACACACTTTCTTCATTTTGCTCTCATCTTGATTACATGGTTACATCAACTGGCGTAAGGCTACTATTTTGCTTCACTTTTGACTGTGTGTGCTTGAACCGCTGTCCCGAACTCCTGCATCGCTGCAGGCTTCCAGATTTTGCAGCTGATTCCACCCAAAGGCATCAAAGGAATGTTGAGGAAGACTCGCTTCGGTACCTGGGTTCACACACCACTCTAATGTGTCGGGTTCGCATGAGTTGACCTTCTCGACGCTGTAACCGACGTACCTAGGCCCTCTACAAGCGCTTGTAATACTCGACAAGTAAAAGAAAGACTTTCAGAGCACCTGGTAGCAGTATTCTTGTGCCACTAGCGTAGACAGAAAGGAGAACCCGTCGTACTTCTTGATTTGCTGAGCACTGGACCCGTAACTTGCGTGTCGGTGGCATGTATCTCGTAAATCGCGAGGCCCAATCATCATCCTCGTTTCGAGTAACGTGCAACACAAATTTCGTATTTCTTTCAGCTAACATGTAGTTCATGGCAAACGCTTCTAAGGTTGCTGCTTCAGCTAGCCCATCGTAGTGTCACAAAGGCAGGAACGAGCCAATCAGGGCCATGTCTACCCTTGTCGATCTCCCGTTCCAGTGCAACGACTCCATCTCTATCATCACGTCCACCATCAGACCTCAGCTTGGCATTCATCGACTTGCCTCTATACTGCACTAAAACTTCTGTGCACACACTTCTAGGCAGTTCTAGACCGTCGCTGTGCATCCCGAGGTCTGAATTTGGCGTGTCAGACCAGTCACACGGATCACATCCGCCACCAATCTTCCTTGCAAGAAGCCTGTGGCTTCCCGAAATCTGTACGTAAAAAGGCGCCGTGACTGGGGTGTAACAATACTAACTACTGTGTTGGTAGCCGGGTCACCTACTCGCTGTCCTACACTGGCTCTTGCATGGCAGCGGTCTAGACCTTCGACGCACCTGTTCTGTCAGCCACCAAGCAGCTATAGCGATCCCGCTTCGATTACCTGTTGTAGCTCATTGCATATTTCCAAGAGTTCCGCTCCGCTACTTGAATCGCCACGATGACTGAGCCCGTCGAAGTCAGAGATTCCGCTCAGTCCAAGCCAGTGCATCCGACGCCTGATAACACTACTATCTCTCCTACATCAGGACCAGCTCGCAAATATCTGACCTTGGGGCCTTTGAAGAAACTCGATCTGCCTCATCATCCGTCGTATGATAATGTTAGTTCTGATCATCATGTCACTCTAGCCCAGTTCCTCGACGATATTCTCAACGAGGTACAAGGAATCAACTTTGACGAAGGGTTTGAGAAGCGTGGGACCTGGAGCCCCGACAATGGACATGTGATGATGCCGCCACTGAATGCTACAGGGAACAGCGATATGGTTACAGTCCCAGTCTCGGTCGAGAAGCGTATCAAAGACTTGAACCAAGCCAGTTGGATGGCTAGAACCTCTACCCACAGCAACGCTCATGTCAGATTCTCTGAGTTGGGCGATCTTTTGGCGAAAGATCACAGCCGCAACGAAGCTGCATATACCCCGAGTGTTTTCGATGCTGTCGAGCTATTAAGGTGGGATCCTGAAGAAGCGTTGAGAGCAGTGAGTCACCACGAGGGGATTCATAGTGTGGAAATGTTTAGTGAGCGCCCTCTTGTGCAAGTTACATGACAGTGTGCACCGTTGCTGACACATTTCAGTATCCCAAATGTTCCATATGATGCCCAAGGTAGCCGGGCTGAGTCTACTACAAGATCGTGTGTTTCATGCATTAATAGTTACGATGAACACTCACAAAGCAGAGAGTCTCTCTGACCTCGCTTCGTCTTTTACTGTTCAGCTTCCAATTGATTATGCATCATTTGGCGATGTCAAGATCATGCAAGAGAGAAGTCGGATGGAAACGAAAGGATCTTCGCAACTCTACCGGTTTCCGTCGGACACAGGGTCAGGCGCAACACCTGACGCGAACCAGAAGCAGCGACAGGGGAAGAAGCTGACAGAAGGAACCTACGTCTCGTTGGAGAGGCTGATTGGCGCATCGAAGACACGTGTCGATGGGGATGCTGCGCAGCAAGCAGAGTCGCCCGATAACGACCATCATCGTTGGGATATGGTAAGTTTCATATTCCGCATTCAAGTTTAATGTTGTTGACATGGCGCAGATGACGTTGAGTACGGCGGGGGGCATGACGAAAAAGGCACCGAAGGGCATCCAGCAGAAGGAAACGTTGGAGGCGATCGCAATGGATGTGGAGTATGTTCTATCGTATATCGCGGATCAAAGACGGAAGAGCAGGACTTGAATGGTGATGATGACTGTGAAGGAACCATGTCACATGAGGCAAGGCGAAGCCCGGGCGGGGACGAACCGCGGCGTGCAGATCATCGCGTGGCTGTGACACCATTCCACTTTCTGCACACTTGGACTTCAGCTTTCAGCCTTACGCTGGGGAGACGAGGCCCAGTTTGATGTATCTCAGTATCGCCTTTTTGTACTTAATACCTTCATCAATGTCATCCGATACACCGCAATTGCCTCCGTGATCGCATTCCAGCGCGTGCCGTCCATGTGCATGTCACACTCGTGGAGAGCCTATTAATACACACAGGCACTTCAGCTGGCATCTCGAGCCCACACTCCCAACGAACACGATCCGCCGTCTCCTGCGACACACATGTTGGCTGGTAACGCGACAAGAAACCACAAGATGCAGAACTACGGGCAAGCACCAGGATACCAGCGGCCAGGCAGCACGACGGGCTTCACAGGACAGCAGGGCGCCCCTCCACCAGTCCCGCCACCGCCGCCTGGATATGGAGGTATGTTGATGCACGATAGCACACAGTTCCAAAGTCAGGCACTGACACGATGGCACAGCTTCCCAGGGATACCAAACGTCCGCTCCCCCTGCCCACGGTCAATGGGCTGCGCCCACGCCGACACACACGTCGAATCCATGGAATCAATCGCAACAGCAGGTAGCCGCAGGATATAATCCGGGCACGTATGGCACCATGCCGGGGGCGCAGCATCAATCATATCCTCCTCAGCAACAAGAGCAACCTCCCCCACCTCCACCCAAACCCTACGGCTTCGCAGCGGCGGTCCAACGGCACGAACAACAACAGCAGCAGAACTGGCCACAACAATCGCAACCAGGCACCGGCTTTGCGCCTCATACGCAGCAGGGAGGATATCCGGTGCAAGCAACACCACAGCCATATCATCACGCAGCTCCTCCCCCGCCTTCAACTACACCGGGTGGGACGTACTTCCAGTCTTCGCAGGGAGGTAGACCCAGCTCTATTTATGGGACAGGTCAAGTTAGCTCATACCCACCAGGAGGACCTCAGCAACCCACTGCAATCAGCAATCAGAGCGAGCAGCAGCCGGCATACGCACAACAGGGTACACAAGTGTACTCGTCTTCGAACACAAACCTAGCAGCCGGCGCATACATTTCTCCCCCACCAGAAGCTCCTTCGTGGCAGCAGGCACAGCATGCGCCACATCAAGGCGGCATGGTCAACTACACGCATGCTACACCACATACAGACACAAACACATATGCACAAGGACATCATGGTCTACAGCAGCAGCAACCGCCGCCTCTACCTCCACGGCATGGCCAACAGGTTGTTCCTCTACAAAACCATCACCAATCTCAGTTTGGTCATTCCACGCCCGTCCAATACAATGCGCAATCGCAGATACCCAACCAGTACCAGCAGCCGTCGGGTCAATTCCCACAACCGCATCAGCATCAATATCAGCAACCTTCGGTTGGGCATCCTTCATATTCCCAAGCGCCGTCGCAACAACCACCCACACAGACAATATGTGAACAGTCTCTGTACGACCAACAAGGGCAGCCTTCTCAACAACATCCTCGCCCTCAGGACTCATGGCAGTCCGGATCTCCAGCCCCAGAGCCTAACTATCAATACAATAGACCGCAGGCATACGAGACTCAGCTACCACCCTCGCAAACAGGGTACCAAGCGCAAGAACCAGCTCCACCGCAGCAGTATCCCCAGATCTCGAACCAGGAGGGCCAAGAAACAAAGCCACACAATCGAATCGATACTGCTGGGTCGAACTTCTACCATCAACCAAGCCCGCAGAGTCAGCCTGTGTCTCCGATATCGAATCGTCCTAGTGTGAGCTCTGCCTCTGGCTACCATCCTATCTCTGGGCGCACCGACTCGGTGAGTTCGATAGCTTTGGCCAACCTCTACGCACAGCGCGCAGACAATAAGACATCTTCACCAAAACCGTCCGAGCCGAGACTACCCGCGTCACCTCCACCCAGAGATGACAAGTCCAAGTTTAGTGTTCTGGCTGCCGGTGCACCTTCTGATTGGGAACACCTAGGTGGCAGTGAGGAGATTGACGATGAAGAGCTCTTTGGTGCAAAGAAAGAAGATGTGAAAAGCGACAGTACTCAACCGGAAAGCATTGAGCTGCCCGCTCACGTTCCGCCTCCCCCATCGACGCATGGGTTCCCCAGTCCTGCTGTGCGTCCTGCACACGTGAGTTCGAGCGAATGGGATGAAGGCTTTACACCTACACCGCCGTCTGTGACAACAGGACTTGCTGGACGTCAAGATTCCCAGTCATCAGATCAAGGGTTCATCGTCGGAGATGCAATTGTCGCGCCCTTACGTACTACTCCCAAACCCATACAGGGCACGAGACCCCCTCATCAGCCTGCCGCGTTGATGACTGGGTCGGGCTCCGCAGAGGGTGGATGGGATACGTCGCAACACACACCTACCCAACCGAAGCATCTTTTTGGGTCACAAACCAGTAATGAATCCACCGGCGTGGTGTCCTCCAGCTACGACTATGCTATACAACTGAAAGAGAAGGACGACCTTATCAACCAATTACGCGCAGATATGGAACGGGAGAAGAAGGAGAAGGATGAAGTTCTCCAACAGTTACACACAGATACAGAACGGGAAAAGGCCGTACTACAAGCAAAGATCGATGAATTTGAAGCTAGTAGCCAGAAAGTCGTGTCTGAGTACGAAGCTAAGAAGGCTCACAGCACGAGCGAGATGGAAGTGTTACGTGCACAGATTGAGACTATGAGAATCACCACAGACCAAGCCAGTGTCAACTATGACGCTATGGTGAAGGAGAAGAACACGGCGATTGACATTTTGAAAGAAGATGTGGAAGGGAAGGAGCACAATATTGAAGAGCGTGATAGTTCTGTCGCTGAACTAAAGCGCCAACTTGAAGCCGAAAAGGCGAAAGAGCCGCCGAAACCCACAGCTGCTGATCTGGTACCGGACCTTGATCCGTGGTATATTGGCTCGTTAGAGCGATACATAGCCATGCTTCGAAGTGAGGCCGCGGAACCGCAAGTCGAGGAGAAGGTCAAGACTTTCAAGGCGTTCATGAAAGTCGAGTCTGCCATGCGGGCCATCGTCTCCCTTGATACCTCAACACAAACAGTTCCAGTGGACCCAGAGGTATCACACGAACAGGAGCAAGCTGCTCGCTCTCGTGCAACCTCGAACATATCCACCAAGAGACAAGATCTGAACATCCAGGTACCGCAGGAGTCGGAATTTGACGACTTCGAATATAGTCCTGGCGGTCGACCTATCTTGGCGCGGCAGACTACGATTCCGCCTACTGAAAACTACCAGGGTGTTCCAAGAGCGCCTCCTTCGGTGCAATCAACAACAATTCTAACTCCGACAAGCTCCATTGATGATGATACGAACAAGACGCCAGTGCAATCTCCACCTGAAGAGCAGGTGCAACACCAATACAAGGCATATGTCCCACCTGCTAGCATATCGGCTGACCCTGCTCCATTGAGACACAGACCAACAATGTCCTTCTCCAATACGCCAGGAGTAACCTCACCGTCAGGCCGTAGCAACAGTAAGGGGCACGATGAGATATTCTTTGGAGCTCATCAACCGACTGCTCAGACGCTTGCGTCCCGGCCTTCCAGTAGCGAAGCAGATGTCGCTTTGCCAGCACCATTGAAGCTGACACCGCGCCGCCCGATCTCAACTGCACCAACGAAGGAAGATCCGAACAGAGTGCTGAAGGAACTAGTATCTAAGAAGGTGCATTCCGGCCTTCCAAATCACCGGATTCAGGATACGAGGGCTAGGCTCGTTGACATAGGATCCAAAGCTAGCGCCGCCGAAGAAATTACGAAGACATGGGAGAAATCTGCATCTCTGAGTCGCCGCAAGAAGGACGACGCCCGCCGCAAGCGTCAAGAAGAGAACGAGGAGCACAACGATGATCTATTCAACAACAACGAGATCTCATACGCGGAAATGAATCAGCTCGAGGAAGAGTTCAAGCAGAAGGAGGGAGAGCTCAAAGCGCAAGAGGACCAAGACGAGTATCGTGACTATGTGGAGACCGTATTCGACCCCATCTTCACCGGGCTACATGGCGAGATTAAAGCATTGATGGACTTGCACGTCGAAGCTAAGCGCCTACTACCATCTTCCGTCGCTGGACTCCAGAGCATGGAGGGAACCGATACTCCAAGCACAAAAGACTGTTTCAAGCTCCTGAAAGACATCCACGAGCAAGTGGAAAAGAGACACGACGATGTCGTACAACTCGTTGCCGAACGCGACAGACGCTACAAGAAGACGGAGACGCAACCTCTGTACGCCGCTGGCAACATCAGCCAGATGAAAACCGTGGAGAAACACTACGACAACGCTGAGAGGCAAGCCACATTCAAAGCCAAGCGCGAGAAGGCGGAGCGTGTAGGCGAGCTTGTCCGCCTTGTCGAGGACATGATTGTCAATGCAGTCAGCACTGAGCAAAAAGAAATTGACCACATCGTTGCAGCTATCAAGGACCTTGATGATGGCAGCGGTGATCCAGCGGTCCTCGACGATGCACGTACCGCTCTTACGGCTCTGAAGGAATCTTCTAAGGCGCTCCTCTCCCTTTTCAACGCGCTGGAGATTGAATCCAACAACGCCGATATAGACGCGGAGATTGCGCAAGTGACAGCTGATGGTGCAGATTCAGCGCGCATACTCGGATTGGAGGCTGAGAAGAGGGAAGCAGAGAAGGACTTGGTAGAGGAGTTTCGGAGGAGGGTTAGTGTGCTGGATAGCGATGAGGCTGAAATCGGGGCGTTGGTGCAGGGGAAGATGGGAAAGAGTAGCGAGGACACGGAGAAGGAAAATCGATTACGGATGGCGCTGGAGGAAGCGAAGAGGCGGAATGGTCATGCTTGATGATGGTATAATCTTATGTATTTACGAAATGTGGCATTTCTCATGTCTATAATGTGTA